AGCAGCCCATCCCGGCCCGGCCGCGCCGCTGCTACAGCGCTCCGCAGCTGTAAAGAAGTCGATATTCACCGTGAATTTGCACCTGAGTGACTATACCCAACGCGTGCCTGTGACTTCTGAAGATAAGCTTCCTGAAAAGCACTGACACGCTCTCCTTAAACCTGAACCTCCCGCTTGAGCTGTGGAGAGAAAATGTTCTGTATCCTGTCACAGTATAACGCAGGGGAAAAAAAACAACCTAATCTGATCGCACAGAGCTAACTTGTTTCCTAGGATTGTCGCTTAAATTGTTTTTGTGAGGGAGGGGCAGGATACTAAAGCATGTATGTCTATTCACGTTTTTCTCTTAAGTGTTTAAAGGTTAAGAAAAAAATCACTACTGGGCAGCTTATTCACTGAACTCTGAAGTATGAGGTGCAGCCGGAGCATAATTCTACTGCTGTCTCTAGAGCTATAGTTAGAATCATTTAAATAATAGCTGGTCTCAGTAAACTCTTAATTGATTCAGTTGTGTTTCTGGCATCAAGATGTGATATTACTTACATGACAACAAGGAAACTTTAACACTAATCTATTTCTCTTTAGTGACGATCTCTTTTGCAGCTGAGGCTTACTGTTTTCATCAGTTATATAGTGACAATAAGACACTTCCTTCCCCCCCCCAGTTTAAATGTCGCATGAAATAAAAGCAAAACATTTAAGTAAGAAAGTGCCTAGTTCCTTTGCAAGATTTTAAAATATGCTGAGTTCAATTTCTTTTTAATGGAATTTCCTCTTTGTTTTCTTTTTAGCTCGGTCACGTACTGTAGGTGAACTCTTAGCCCCAACTTCTCCTTTTGACAAGAAGTGTGGACGTGAAAACTGGACTGTTGCATTTGCTCCTGATGGCTCATACTTTGCTTGGTCACAAGGGCATCGCATAGTGAAGCTGGTTCCCTGGTCTCAGTGCCTTAATAACTTGTAAGATAAAACCATACAGTTTTTAATTAATCTGAAAAACTTAAGAATTTCAAAATAGGAGATAGTAGATTAAAAGTCATGTTTAGGCTTTTTTGGCTTTGATGTCTTTAGGAAAAACTAGCGTTATTTAATTCCTTAACCTAAAGTATGAGCTTCTTGTCTTCTTAGAGGATTCTGTGGCCAGCAAGGGAAACAACTGGATTGTAACCTCACAAATGCTATTGAGGAGTGATTTATTTATTAATTCAGGTGTTCTAAAATAAGAGGAGGTTAGAATGAAAAGGAAGCTTAAAGACTGAAGCAGATTTGGACTTTTTAGTTTCCTATCAGAAATAACTATTTGGTGTTAACTTCTAGGAATTTATTTAAAGACAAAGCTGTTTCCTTATTATTCTTTTTAGAAGAGCAGCTAAGTTCCAAAAGGCACACTTCATTTTCACTTGTAGATACATTTTAATGAAGTTAGTTACCACGGTTGCATCTTTGTAGCTAGGTAGTTACATTGCCCCTTACAGCAAATCTGCTTGCTCTCTCTTTGTGGCGGTAGCTTAGTTGGTTTTCCTGTGCTGGCTTTAGTATCTCTTCCCAGTTTTTAATGCATGTAGGTGAATTTCAGGGAACCTCTTGCTCATTTAGAGGGAAGTCTTGGAATTTTTGGTAATTAATTTTCTCTATAAATGCTTCCGAAATGTTGTTTTTCAAAGTAGGTTAAGTTAATATATTGCTCCCTACAAAGGTAAAAACATACATGAAATTTATTGTATTATATAGGAAGGTTCCAGGGGTTAATAATTCTTCTGACAGTTGTGAGAAAACTGCTTTTATAAATTGAATGTAAAAATGCTTCATTATGGGCTTCCAAAACGTATGTCATGCCAACCCATGTATTTCTTTACATCTTAAAAAAGACCTTTTTATATTCTGAACATTTTGTGATATACAACTACTTATTTTTATATTAAAAGATACCCTTTATTTTTTGTTTGTTTTACAGCTTGTTGCGTGGCACAAAGAATGGGGCAAATTCAATCAGTACAAGACTTTCGAGACAGAACAGTGATAGCGGTCAGAAAAATAAGCCTTGCGAACATATAATAGACTGTGGTGATATAGTCTGGAGTCTTGCTTTTGGGTCGTCAGTGCCTGAAAAGCAGAGCCGCTGCGTGAATATAGAATGGCATCGTTTCAAATTTGGGCAAGACCAGCTTCTGCTTGCCACAGGCTTGAACAATGGGCGCATCAAGATATGGGATGTATATACAGGTAGAGTGTGCGAGGGGAAGTTTGCGTTTCAGTATCACCTTATGTAGTATTAACATCATTAATGCATAGAATAAATTGCTTACAGAATTTTAATTGGGAATTGAACCTGAATGCAAGTTAAGTAATCTAAAAATAGTATGAACTCCTGCAACTAGAAGTGCTCAAATACTGCTTGAAGAAGGAACAGGCTCAGGTCATACTCTTAAGATATAACTGATGGAAAATAAAGCTTTGTTGCTGCAAAATGGTTAAGTATGTGATTGACTTCTGGTACATCAGTTGCTTACTCTAATGTTCTCCTGGATCATAGTTTTAAGATACTTTCAAATTAAGGAAACTTTCAAAACGGGAGGTTGCTTTCAGTTCTTGAGTATGAGGAAGAATTTATGTTGATGAGAACCTTTATTTTTTTAAAGGTAAATACCGTTCAAGTGATAAGGGACAGAATCTGAAACTAGGGAATCCCATAAGTTAGCTGGTGACACGTTTGGGAGAAAACTTCAGCTTTTAAAAATGAAACTAATGACTACTGAGTAATTTGTCATTTTATCTTATAAATTGAAGCTCAGAATGCAGGTGTGTATCAAAAGACAAGTCTTGCTTGCTTCTTTTTGTAAGGCATTTGATCCTAGTCTATAAATTTGTGTAAAAAGTTTCTGGCTCTGTAGGAAATGGCTCTTCAGTGCAGAAGAGTCTAAAAAGACACACACATGCATTTTTACTGTATGAAGGATTGTTACAAATAATATTTGTCTTTATATGTTCTGTATTCTGCCTTTGCTCAAAATTTCTTGTGATTTCTTTTTGACTTTAGTTTTTCCATAAGGAATTTAATTGGAATAACAGGCTGCTCTATAATCCTTCATTTTAAACTGTGATGTTTTCACATAACAGGAAAACTCCTCCTTAACCTGATGGACCACACAGAAGTTGTTAGAGATTTAACCTTTGCTCCAGATGGCAGCCTGATTTTAGTGTCTGCGTCAAGAGACAAAACACTGAGAGTGTGGGACCTGAAAGATGATGGTATGCATTTAAGTAGTTCATCTGTTGTAATACCTAGGAGAAATATGAGCATACACTCCTACAGTGGTTGTTATAAACTCAGTTGGGTCTAGATTTATTTATAAACTGACTTTATTAGTTACTTGCTCCCTATGTTCCTTTGAAATACTTTCTCTATATGTACCCTAAAAGTACAGGTTGACAATGGGTTAAGAGTGTATGAACTAACCTTTTTGAACAGGGAGATAGGATTTGGAGGCTCCATGACAGGTAACTTTTTATTTGAGCGCAGAACAACACTGCAAGATGTCATTTGGAAAAGAGTATGACATTTCATAAAGGAAAAACTAATTGGAAAAGCTGTTCCTATTGGATTAGGAATCTTTAACCAATTCTTATGG